ATTCAGGCAGGATCAAGCTGCCTTAACCACCAGTCACTGGCTGGCCCTATTTTCTTCTTTAATTCTTATTTTACTTTTGTACTTAAGTTTAGGAAGTTTCTACTGACCCTTTTTGAAGCTCACTGATTCTTTCCTCAGTTATCTTGACTTTATTGATGAATCCCCCGAAGGAGGATGCTAGCTTTTCATTATCGTCTTTTCTTTTGACTGCTTCCATGATTCCTTCTCTTTGCTTATATTCTTTGTTTCTTCTTGCATATTATCCAATTTTTGTGATTGGGTCTTTTTAATATTAATCATAGAGGTTACACATTCCCAGACAGATAATTGCATCATCTCTGCCCTGTCTGAGTCTGATTTTATTTTTTTTTTAATTTGCTAGAAGGCTTATGCATTCACCAAAGAGTGACAGAAGAGAGAGAAGCAAAGACAGAATGCACCGTACAGGGAGAATGCCCATGCCTCGATCCCTTCCTTACCCTTCCTTTCAGGATTCTGGGCAGGCACACCTGTGTGCCCTGTTTGTTTTTTACGCTGTCAGATCTAGTTGCCCATAGTAGAGCCAGCCACCCTAGCCATCACAGCACCCGCTGGCTCCTCAGTATGATTCTAATGCTTGTTTTCTCTGATCAAGTGTTTTCATTTCCTTGGCTTTGGTTTGCCTTGTAGGTTTGGGGTAAGAGGTAGGCATTATTTTTCAGTGAAAGGACCTGAAGTAACTAGGCTGATTGTATGAGGCTTTCTGTTGCTTACTCTAAATGTTAAGGTGTATTTATTTTCTGCAACTGTGAGTGGCCGTGGCTAACTTCAGCCAGACTTTGATAAAATAGGTTCCCTGGATGACAGGCCTTTTTAAGCAGAACAGAATATTTCTGGTTGTTTGTTCCCTCATGTATCCACCATAGAACCTATCAGCACTCTTGGAGGTAAACTCCCATCTTGTGGCAACCCCTCCCCCTGCTGAGGCTGAGAATTCCTGGCATTTTAAAATACCATGCTTACCCATGCTGAGCCTCCATAAATTGGTCATTGAGAAGGTAGGTTGTCCTATTGGCAGCATTTCTTCCCACTGATAATTCTGACTTCACTTTTTGCATTGGAAGATGATAGTTCTCTGTATCTCCCTGTCTGGCTCTCTCATTTGCAGGCAACTCCTTATCCTGTGACATAAGTTCTGTGATATAAGAAGAGTCGTTGATGTTTAGTTTATCATTCTTCTTCTAATGCATTTGCGAGTGACAGCATATTAGTTCCATAAAACTTCATCAGAAGAATGTCTCCATCTCTTATTTGTTTCTTCTGGAGTACAAATTAATGATCAAAGTAGAAATTAACCTTGTAAAATAATCTTTTTAATAAAAAAAATCAGTAATCAAAACAACATAATCTCAATAAGAACACTGCAAATTACAAATATTTTAAATTAAAAAAATATACTAAATACACTAGTTCCCCCTTATCTGCAGTGGATAATTTTAAAAGCTCCCCCACTCCCTAGGAGATACCTGAAACTGGAGATAGCACCCAGTTCTATACACACTATTTTTTTCTATAGATGTGTTTCTTGGCTTATGATGGGCTTATGTGCCCCCAAATCCATCACACTGAAAATATCATAATTGGAAATAATTTAATACACCTAATGTACAAGCACCATAGTTGGGCAAAAGTCATCTGACGAAAAACTGATTTCAGAATTAAACGTTGACTATCTCTTGTAGTTTATTGAATATTATACTGAATGTGAGAAACAATACTTGTATGTATGCTGGAAGTATGGTTTCTTCTGAAAGTTTATCACTTTTGCACTATCATAAAATAAAAAGTGTATTAAGTGCAATTACCCTAACTTG